GTTGGGACAGGGATCATCATCTAGTGTGTATCTGGAGTGTAATGTGTGTAGTTGTGCAGTGCAAGGGGTGCTGTAGTATATATATATATATGTTTGGACTTGTATGTGTGAGGGTTGCAGTGTGTTGGGTGTGCTGTGTGTATGTGTGAAGGGTGCAGTGTGTGTGTAAGAGGGGTGCTGTGTGTGAGGGTGTTCTTACCTGCCATAACATTCTATGTTTCTAATTTTCTTTGTCTGTTAAGTCACTGAGGGTTATTTTATATATTATAAATGTGTGTGTGCTGTGTGTGTCTGAGGGTGCTGAGTGTGTGTGCGGGTGCTGTGTGTGAGTGTGCTGTGTGTGTAAGTGTGCTGTTAGTGTAAGTGTGCTGTGTGTGTGTCTGAGCGTGCTGTGTGTGTCTAAAGGGTTCTGTGTGTGCTGTTAGTGTGAGTGAATATGTCTGGAGGGATTGTGTGTGTGGAGGGGCAAGATATACATATTTTTTTTTTTTTAATTCTTTATTTTTGTAGTGCTTCGAGTAACAAACATGATTATATCGCCACGACAGCAGATACAAGTCGCTGAGATATCACAAAGTATACAAGATCATGGCATTGAATGACAGCACATTTTTTAGATTAATCTAGGAATAGTAAATGAACAGTGCATGCATGATACAAAAACATTTAACAGTATAGATTGGTTATATGCACTCTATAGGAATCAAGTATTGTTATCTGCACGTGTGGCTAAGATCTATGTGTAACCAAAGTAGGACCTAGTGGAAGTTTGCATGCTTGAGTGTGAGTGACTAGTTAGGAGCCACCTTTGGTGTTAGCATCTCCTAGAGCTTATTCTACTAGTATTCTATTAGTGGCAGCAGAGTTAAGATGCCGTTCGAGGGGCAGATGTATGTTGCAGAGAATGAAGGTTAGGATGATCTACTTAGTTTAAAAATAGCTATGCCCGTCACCCAGAGATTCGTTATGCTATATACATTCCACATAGGGGGTTGTTTTGAGTTATGTGTAACGCATTAAGCGTGTTGGGTACTACCATGAGTAGTCCGCTAGCTGGGGAGGCCGCTTTCGTCCTTCATAAGTAATGGGGACCTCTAGCGGTTAGTAGCGAGACTAGCGCTATAAATTACATGACTAGTGTTTTTAGTGAGTAGGTCTGGCTGTAGGTTGCTATGGATAAATTTTACACCTCGCGTCGAGATAGAGTGGGTCTTAGTCTAAAGGCCATTGAGGGGAGGCAGGGGTGGGGGGTGAGGGGAATTGTCCTCATGAGATACTCGGTGCTTAATAGGTAGGTACCAGCGAGATAGGAAGTACTGTACAAAAGGAAACAAACAGAGAGAAAAGAACAAAAAAATATGAAAAATATATATATATGTATATAGTCACTGAAACGGTCACGGCTCGGAACCCCTTTGGTAACAGATATGTGTGAGAGAAGTTCGCCTCAAGTAGTAACCAGAGCGTAGGCTCCCTGTGGGGCTTGCTGCGGGACAAATGGAGTGCTTCTTGCAGGGTCCCACGTGTGTGCCTGTGTGGGTGCCTGTGTGGTTGCCCCTCGAGGTCCAATACTCTGGAGAGCGTCCTTTGGGAGGCCTAGGGTGTCCAGGAGCGCAGATGCCTCCTGTATGTCCTGGACCGCGTAGAAGGATTCTCTGTGTTGCACTTGGAGCGTACGGGACATCCGCCACCTGTATTGGATGTTGTTGCTCCGTAGGAGAGTGGTAAACCCCTGTAGGGATCTTCTCCACTGCAGAGTGCTCCCAGAGAGGTCGGTGTAAAAGGTTAAGGACATGTCTTCAAATACATATGGGGACTGTCCCTTGAGTGCTTCTTGTACTGTCGCCTTGTCACTGCTTCTTTGGAATTTCACCACTGTATCTCTGGGCGCCTCTTCTGGGGCCCTCCTGGGTTTCGGGATCCGGAATACTCCATCCACTGCAATTTGCCTGACTTGCTTTGGAGACAGCAATGCTCCCAGCAGCCTTCTTATGAGGTGTTGTAACTCTGCTGTCGGTACCTCCTCCGGGATACCTCTTATTTTAAGGTTAGCGCGGCGCCTTGTGTCTTCCGCGGTCGCCAGTTTCTGTTCAACCCCAGCTTGTTGCTTTTTCAGCGCTTGTACCTCTTGTTCCAGAGAGCATATTCTCTGATCATGGTCCTTTGTGGAGGCCTCCATAACTCCCAGTCGGCCTACCAGGCCCTTGAGGTCCTGACGCAGTGCGGCCACGTCTGCCTGGAGAGTTGTCTGAAGCCCCGCCAGGAGCTCTTGCAGGGTCTCCTTTGTGACAGGTTGGCAGGGTAGGTTTCGGGTGTGTGAGAGGGTTTCTGTGATGGTATGTCTGCCGCTCCGGTGTATTGCGACATCTCTTCTGAGGAGTCGGAGTATTCATCCAGCTCCGCGGCCATTTTGGGCCCAAGTGCGCCATGCGCCTGCCTGAAGAGCTCGCCTATATTCATTCCCTGTTTGGGTTTGTCTGACTTCTGCTTCTTAGAATTACGACCCATGGTAGCTCTGGTCGTTCTGGAGCGTTGGGCTTCTTGTTTTTTGGGGTTTTATTCCCAGGATTTCGCCTTTTAACGCTGTTTAGCCTGGAGCTCTGAGAGTGTGTGTCTGATCGCTTCGGCTGCTCGGCTCCGCGCCCCAACAAGTGTATCAAGATATACATATTTTAAATATGTATTTATTTTTTTATTAAAAAAAATACTTTTTATCCCCACTCCCTTCTTACCTCTAGCCTGGAGGGGGGGGGAGCCGTGCTGCCATGGAGGGGGGCCGTGCCGCAGTTCCTGGTGGTCCTAGTGGTGAGTGAACTCTACCCTGCAGTTCCTGGGGTAGAGTTCACTCTTGCAAGATCTGAATTTTGCTGTGGTAACCGCGGCAATGCTCCGACCTTGCGAGAGTAACCCGGTGAAGCTGCATGTTAGTGTCTGTGGGCCGGTGAAGGAGATCTTTGATCTCCCCATCGACCCACGAAGGCACACAGGAGGGCCAGCGCTCTGATAGCGCGGGCCCTGCATGGGCCGACCGGGGAGAACTGTGATCTCCCTTGCCGGCCTCGGCCCATGGCCATCGCGGCCCACCGGGCATTTGCCCGGTATGCCCGATGGCCAGTCCGGGCCTGATCTTTCTATAAAAAGGTATCAGTCTCCCCAACCAGGCAAGACAGCTCCGAAAATGGCAGCAGCTAAACTAACACGACCACCCGGGCAGAGACCCACCAGACGTGCGGCAACAGCACAACTCCCCCACAGGCAGAGAGCCGCAAGACGCCTTCATCGGAGAGTACCCCTACAAAGCGGGCAGAAAGCCTACATCTGTTTCCCACGCAAGAGGAGAGGAGACGCTCTGCAACTGCCGACAGGTACAAGACTCCAGTCTAACACCCAAAGCAAAGGACAGGCAAACGCTTATAAGTGCCTACCAAATGCCCCAAAGTATAACAACAATCCAGAGTAGCGGCACCTCCTAAACAGGCTAGCATACCAGGCCACCAGGGTGGGCATAGACTGACGGACAAAGACAAACGCCGTGACTTATGCCACCCACCATGGTAGTAACGCAATACCAGACCGCACAACCCATGACCAATAACTCCAAGTTCAAGTTTTATTATGAATCTCGCTGTTATGGTTCAGTGTTTTTGTACCCTCAGTTCTTACTTTTAATGCATTAGCCGGATGGATATACCAGACCACCAACCTACTTAAGTGCTGCAATTCGTGCTGCTGCAGAAGCATTTTGGCTATGGATGGACATGATGGGTCACCCAGGGTCCTAACACCAGTCTTTATTGCACTAACTATTTATTGCACTGACATAAAAGCAGCCAGTGTCCCGTGTAAATATCGAACCAACTAGCACTACTATGCCACAGACGCAAGGACTGACTAGCCACCCACCTCACCTGCTGGAAACAGGGGAAGGACATGCGGTTTACACACAAAACTGACGCTATCCTGCCTCTTATTCTCGTTTAAGATTATGGGTGTTGCAGACGTTCATCTTAACCAGCAGATATAGATATACATCTCTTATAACACCTACAGTAATTGTTATTGAATGCTCTTTGACTTATATCTCCAGGCCATGTAGCATCTAAACGCACATGTAGAGGGACAGGTTACTGCACTATAAGAAATGTTTAAGGTACACACCACGAGCGTCATTACCTCCACTCATGCCTCATATATGCACATACAAAACAACATGCTACCTGGATCATACACATAGAGAGTAACTCACTACACAACGACACTCTCTTTTGCCAAACAGCACAACACAGAAATGTGTTCACTGAGTCTAAGCGCCTGCCTCAGACCCCCTTAAGCTTATTTAAGCACCATATACCGCACCGTTACCCTTACACGCCAAACTGAAGCCGAGAGTCGAGGCCTACCTCCCTCGACACTCAGACATCCCACACTGCTCACTTATTGACACTTCATACAGATCGCGCCTCTTACTTTGCTTGTTTAAATCGTTGTTTATCTGGTTGAGACCTACAATCTAAAGTTTTATACAGCTTGACTACAAATACTTACAAAAAAAATGTGCTATGACTTTAAATGCCACAAGAATGTACTATTATGTTATTACTGTGCTTGCATACGCCGTTGTGGCTCTGTAAGCTGTCATGTTACCTCTTGCACAATGAAAAATAAAGAATAAAAAAAAAAAAGGTATCAGTCATTATAATGCGTAAACCAAATAACCTAGATCTTATTGCTATCACTGTAGTATATTGCTTTTTCCATTACACCATAGTAGTTAATCTGATTTCTTCTATGTTATGAGGCTCATCCTTTCTACAGTATCTAGCCATACAAAGTTTCACAGCAATTAGTACAGTATATGGACAGTAAGATATAACGATGATTTTGACATACAGGGACGATCTATATGTAGAAAGGCCATTAGGCCTGAATTTGTGGGAGGAGTAAGTCCCCTACTTAAACACCCAGCCCCTACTCACCTCTGACGTTGGAGTTCAAGTGTTCCTTGTTCTACTTCCGGTTCGCGAGTCTTCACGTTTGCGTCATTTCCGGTCCGGGCGTCTCGTGTATCAGCTGCACGGCTGAATCCTCCGTGCTACCGGCGGTCCTGCTGTATCCCCAGTGCTACCGGCGGTCCGGCAGAACCCTCCGTGCTATCAGCGGTCCTGCTTCTTAATCGTGAGTCCTCTCATTCCGGTCCCCTCCACATCGCTCTGTGGTTCAGCGGGGGGCCGGAACACTAATGACAGGGAAATCTTACCGGGGACCTACACCCCCACCCCACCCCCTCACGGTCTTAAAAATTCGAAAAACGTTATTTGGTGCTAGGGGTATATATTTAATTCCAAACTCATGCTGTTATAAGAGGCAATGCTGTTTATTGTATGGGAAAAGGAAGGCTTGCCAGTTTTTACCATATTATGCATGACATATGTATTACATAAACGTTCATTCATACTTTTCCATATATTTTATGTATCAGTTCACAGATCTAGTTTATTGGGCTGACATCGCCACCTAGTGGTTTTTTATGGTACTTACTGTTTTATTCTGTATAATATGCAGCTTCCCTGCAATTAAATTACTATTTACACAATGTTATACCATGCCTTAAACGTGCAAATTAATCTCAGCCCTGTAAAAAAAAATTTCAAAAAATAATAAATCTCTTTGATCTCCACAGATCGCCATATATTACGGCTAAATTTCAATAAAAAACCGGGGTTCTTATCCTTAAATCCAGGTTTCCATTCTACACTAGCACCAACCGTTTCGCTCATTCTATATTTCAAAACCCTGATTCTTGTCCTTTAATCCAGGTATAGTATTTATTTTACTTTATTTTCTGTTTGAGGAAACTCAGGCAGCCAACAATTTACATTTGTCAACTCACTCTGCGCTCATACGTTACGCCCACTCAGATTTACATCTGTCTCAAACCCTTAGGTTCTACTACGATAGCATCAACAACTTGCCCTGTCTAAAATCGGAGAAAACCTTGCTATTTGTACCTTATATCCAGGTATAGTTTTTTCTTTAATCTTCAGTACGTTACTTCAGTTTCCCATGAAAAGGCCGCAGACAGCCTTCACGGTCCATTTTGCCACTCGTTTACCCGTCCATGCCCCCTATTAACTCATATTGCGCCCATTCGCCACGCTCACTCAGATCTACATCTGTCTCAAACCCCTTAGGCTTCTGCTACGACATCACCAACCACTGGACCTCTCTCTCATATACTTGAAGAAACAAGTCCACGAGTATAATCTCTATCAAGGTTAGTATCCTACCAGCACATAAAACGCCAATTTATCCCATAGTTGTTACGTGAACTGGCTCACAGGGTCTGAACGTCAGACCTAGCTCACCGAGGCATTTACAAACCATCTCCCAAACCTCAACACGGTGGTATGGCCCTACGCCCAAATCATAGTTAATCGCCTCATTCGCTCTTCTACAGGGCCGTAGTCAGGGCCTCACTCGTCACGGCCACACGTTTGAACCTTTTAAATGTCACCGAGAGGCCAACATCCCGCCACCACATCTGTGGCAACATAATCCACTTCGCCCAAATCATAGATAGAGCCTCTCACCGCCACTTGGCATTAGCAGGGCCTCAACCGTCACTAGTCTAAGTTAAGTTTTTCGCTTCTGCCAGTAATCCTACAGTCCAGTTCACATAAGCAATTTCCCTCCCCCCCCCGAAATAGTTTTCTCAGACGCCCCTACTAAACCCAACTCATTTAATTCATTTCTACAATGTCGCAAGACACATCTCCCATGGACGAGGTACCTGATGAGGATATAATATCAACTCCTATCAGACCAGGAGTCCCCAGGAGTATCTCTCGCCCCTTCTACCCCTACGTCTTTGAGAGCATGGACTATACCTAAAATCACGGCCCAACTTAGGCTCAGGGGCATCCCCTTTCCGGCTACGGCCCAAAAGGCGGAATTATACAGACTGTTGACCAACCAAGCCCCAGAGCCTAGGCCAGGCACAAGCTCTCAAAGTCAAGCTTCTGGCGCTGGCATTGCCACCCAGGACACCCTTGCGGCAATCCTGGCCAACTTGCAGACCTTAAACAGCAGGTTAAGCAAGGTGGAAAGTGCCATAGCCTCCCCAGGTAACCTTCCTGTTTCTATAGCCCCAATCCCGGCTGTACCTATGGCACCAACACCCGTCCCTACACTTCCCCCTCCAGCTCCTGCTCCAGTCATGTCGCCTTTCGTGTCACCAGCTCACTCCGTCCCAGACTCCATTAGGAAGGAAATCCTAGATGGGAAGGATGTGTGTCTGGTGTCATTAGTTATTGCCTCCCAAGACGTACTGGAGAACAGGGCTTATAATTTTGGCGATATCTCGGTGGTTCTTAAAACCAGAGACCCAAGGCTCAACAAAAAGTTGTCAATTCCCAATTTCGTGTTGGCCTTCGGGATATACCGGGATGTCATCTGCTCGGTATATCCCAACAGGAGAGAGGAACTGGACCTCTATCTCCATAAAGTGGTGGATTTGGGCGTTAAGTACGGGGGCTCATCTTTTTACGATTATCATAAATCGATATCAGTGAAAGCGGCGACCCATCTGAAACAGTTTGATGTAAGAATTAACTGGTGTCAGATGGATACAGAACTATTCTGTCGCCACTTTGCTGGTCTGAGGCCCCCGTCTTGCGCCATATGCAATTCCTCAACACACTTGGCTGATTTGTGCCCTTCTATGGCTGACCCATCCACCCCCACTCCCACCCCTCAATCCTCTTCCACTCCTCACCTTAAACAGGAAGGCGGACAGAGGGATAAACTAGGGAGGCCCATCTCCTTTTTGGGGAAGGCGCAGGTGTGCAACAACTTCAATGCAGGTTCCTGCAGCTTCAGCGCTTGTAGATTGTTGCACATCTGCTCCATCTGTTTCAGGGCACACACTAAGACCATGTGTCCGGCCAGGTTGTCCCCTAACAAATGACTAACCGACGTTAATATCGACAACCTGGCCTTTTACCTTAAAGATCACCCAAGTAAACATCTGGTGGAGTTTCTAATTACAGGGTTTACCCAGGGTTTTCACACGGGTCTCGTGGCCATCCCCTCAGGGATACTGGAATGCCCTAATCTCCTATCAGCCTGTCTAGACCTGGAGGCCACGGACGTTCTCCTCTCTACAGAAATAACTCAAGGGTTCATGATCGGCCCCTTCACCTCCTCACCATTTTCCTCCTGGCGCACTAACCCTATCGGTATAGCTGTACACAAATATTCAAATAAAAAACGTATGATTATTGATTTATCGGCACCGCACTCCTCTTTTGTTCCTAGCATCAACGCACTCATCCCTGCAGACGAATTCTCACTACAATACGTTAAAATAGACGACGCCATACAATCCATCATATCAACTGGCAGCAACGCTTGGCTTAGCAAAACAGACATTACCAACGCTTTCAAACTACTGCCCATACACCCATCACTTTGGCACTTGCACGGTGTTAAATGGCGTAACAGGTACTATTTTTCCACGCGCCTCACTTTCGGTTCCAGAAGCAGCCCCAAACTCTTTGATATTTTCGCGGAAACGCTATGCTGGCTGCTTCTGAACATTATTAGGTGTCACGCCGTCATTCACTACTTGGATGACTTCCTCATCATAGAACCAAGCACACGCACACCCACCGATATCCTCAGCACCTCTGCACTTTTCTCCACCCTCGGGGTACCTTTGTCTCCCACTAAAACAATTGGCCCCACCACTAAACTCACTTTCTTGGGCATAGAGCTAGACTCTGCTACCTTCCGCGCCAGCCTTCCCACTGAAAAACTCTTCCGCCTGAGAGGGGAAATAGTCATGTTCCTGCGGAGTGATGTATGCACCAGGAAAGAACTTCAGTCCTTATTGGGGTCCCTGAATTTTGCAATGCGCATCGTTCCGCAGGGCAGATCTTTTGTGTCCAGGCTCCTTTGTCTGCTTCACGGGGTACCGGACGCCTGCCCAATTGCGTTGGACCAGCACGCCAAAGCTGACCTAATCATGTGGGGGCAGTTTTTGTCCCTATGGAACGGTATCTCCATGTTTATTCCCCCCCTCTCAGACTCCTCTCCCTGCATTTACACTGACGCTGCAGCCAACACGGGTTTTGCAGCTATATTTGGTAATCACTGGTTTAGGGGTCACTGGCCAGCTGAGACGGATGCCTTGCCGGGGTTTAGAGAAACTTCAGCTCTATTTGAGATTTACCCCATTGTGGCAGCCGCACACACTTGGGGGTCACCTCCGGTCCGGCAAGGCAGTAAAGTGTTATTCCGACAGCTCGTCAGCTTGCGATATCATCAACAAAGGGCACTCATCCTCTCTTACCATTATGCGGCTGATTCGCAAGCTGACCTGGTTGGCAGCAACCGTCCAGTTCCACCTAATTTGCCTTCACATCCTGGGTATTCACAACACGGCTGCTGACGCTCTGTCTCGATCTCAATTTCAGGTGTTTTTCCAGGCACTCTTGTCAGCCCACCATCAACCATCCAGAACACCCAATTTTCATGAGCTAATCTTGGATTAAACACACTTATGCACCACGCTAGGACACTTACGCACCAAGCACTATCACCAAACACTACTATCACCTACAGTAGGGCACTCACCATTTTCAACAAATTTACTGCTGAATTCGGATTACAAGGTGATTTCTCAACCCAAACTATGGTGGCTTTTGCCTCTTTTTGCCATTTACATTTAAAACTTTCCCACAACACCATTAAATTATACCTCATGGGGGTGCAGCACCACAGCCTCACAAATTTCCCTAACAACACCCCCTTTTTATCATCATACCCCATAAAGAAAATCTTAAAGGGGATCTCTAAAGTATCAGTTCCACCTATCACCACCAGACTACCTATAGATGGGCCTATCTTTAGATTGCTAAACAACCTCCTCGACGAATCCCCTTTTGATCCCAACACTAACCTGGTGATCAAATCTGCAATCTATTTGGCTTTTTATGGGTTCTTAAGACCTAGGGAATTTACTGTCATTTGTCAAGGGGATACCACTCACAGCCTCAAAACCTCACAACTCACTAAAAAAGACAACTATTACATTCTCACAATCCCATCTACCAAAACAAATCAGTCCCTACACCCCACTATTATTCCTCTCTTTCCAACAGACAATGCTTGGTGTCCAGTTAAGACACTAGCAGGGGCGGGCTGGGCCGGGGGGCAGGGAGGCAATTGCCCCCCAGGCCGCCCTAAAATCTGTTGGGACCGGCCGCTGCAGGGCCGGCCCTTTAAATGCTGCAGCCGCCTGAGCGCTCTGTTAAGAGCCTCAGGCGGCTGCGGCTGCTCCTCTCCCTTGCCCTCCCCTGTAGCGTGGCCGAGCTGGTCCGCAGTGCCGGCCGGACTGATAGGAAGGCGCACGCTGAGTGTGCACTTCCTGTCAGTCCGGCCGGTTACAGGAAACAGAAACTCCAGTTCCGCGCGGAGTTTCTGTTTCCTGTAACTGGCCGGACTGACAGGAAGTGCACACTCAGCACTTTCTTATCAGTCCGGCCGGCACCGCGGACCAGCAAGCAGCTCGGCCACGCTACAGGGGAGGGCAAGGGAGAGGTGGGAGAAGTAAGTGGAGGGGGGAGAAGTAAGTGGAGGGGGGGAGGGGAG